AAATCAAAAATAGAAAGCATTACAATATCCTCAAACAATACATCAATGTCTATCGGTATTTTTAAAATATTTGAACATTTTAATATAGTTTTAGCAATGGCGCCATAAAATTTATTGTCAATTTTTGTAAAGATTAACACATCTGCAGCATAATTTTGTGAATTGTTAAGATTCTTCTGATTTCAACTGCACATTAACAGTATGTAGTAAATTTCCTACATGTGAAATCATTCCTAAATATACCTCTGCCATTCATTACTGAAAAAATTTTCAAAATGTTAGGACAGCTTTTATAATCTTTATTTAAGAAATATTTAAAGGTTTATAAAATTTTAAAATTCTATAGATGGCGGGTATTAGGAACATATTGCAACCAACATTGTGCTGACTCAATTCTGTAAATACACTCTGGTTTTTCCCAAATTCACTGAGGCATTATCAGATCATAAAGTTGACATGTAATTTATTGATAATCCCGAATTTGCTATATTTACCATTATATGGCTAGCTATGTCTTTGGATTTTTCACTATTTGAGGGGAAAAAATTTAATAGTTTTCTTAAAACGTCCTTAATTTTGTTGAAATAGCGAAGGGTCAAAAAAAATATTTTAATATTTTCCTATGCATCTGTTAGAATTGAATATGTATGCCCATGCCCATCTTTCAAATCGTCAAGAATTGACCTCCTGAATTCGGGTTCTAAAACATTGATGATATCCTTGCTCATTTTTGTTCTACAAGTAAAGTTTTCATTTATCTTGGAGTCGTTAAATATTATGGGGAAAGATTCTACCTTCATTGTAATGATAAGTAGCTCTGTGAATGTTGTACTACAAGATAAGTAATTACAATTGCGGCAACCGTAGTTGCATCTGTATTATTTCTTATTTTAGTAGAATATTTTTGTTTTGCAATGGATGTAGATACACTCTCCTGCACAATGTGATTGAACAATAATAAATAAAATAATTTTCATTGAAATGAGTACAATATTACCTTATTATATATTTAAACGTGATAATTTAGCGCCTATCCCTAGGAGAGTAATTTGTATTATAGGTGATACATATCCAAAGATGAGTAAGATAAAGTAAAAATAAACACTAATTGTGGATTAAAGATAAAAATAACTGTTAAAAAAAATTTTAATTTTTATTATAGCTATTTCCCATTCTTCATAAAATTTTCGTATAGTTTTCTGCTTACATAATATTCTATTATTGTCAATATGTTTCAAATATTTATTTTTTTTCAATTCAGTCAATCAAAAAAAATGGTTTGTTGGCAAACCTAATAAAAAATATGAATTTGTTTGTTTGTATTATTTTTTGCCTGTAGGGTTATTAAATCAGCTCAATCCTAAAAAAAATCGCAGTTTTGAGGCAAGGGTGTATTTATCTTTCAAGTTTGAGGTATCCGTTAAGTTTAAATCTAGAACGAGTGATTTAAAATTTAGTTGAGCCTTTTTGGATTTGACTCAAAACATACTAACAATGGAGCTAATTATTATCACTATTTGTTGAGGGTAAATCTCACCCTATACTTTAAATAAAGTAGAAGCAGAGACGACTTATAAAGATTTCTATATAATGGAAAATAAAAATATTGAAATATAAAATTTTATGCTTCTCTATCTTTCTATGTGGTTATAAAAAAATAGAAGATTTTTGATTATATAAAAATTTAATTTTTGCAACAATATTAATGAGAAAAGGGATTCAAATTTAATACTTTTAAAAAAATATTATAATTTTTGTTAGAATCCTCACTTCCCGTCAAAATTTGGAGGGGTAGCTAAAAAAAAATAGCGGGAAGACTTAGCCCGCCTCGCAATGCACTCCTGATTATAATAGTTTAAAGATAACTCTTAACAGTAAACGATTGACATACTCTTTTTTAATATCAACATTTTTAAATATTAATTTAAATGTAATTAGCGAATAATAGAGATAGTTGTTTGTCTTATAGTATAATTATTTTTAGAAGTATTCGATTTAAATTTAATTAAAAAATAAATTTATATGTGGGACGGTAAACATTTAATTCTAAATAATTATGATTGCAATATATAGATTTGATCAATGTTTATAATCTATGTATAAAACTTACATGGATTATGTAAATTTTACTTTATTTAAACACTTTGCGCTATAATACTATTCATTTTATTCCCTTTTTTCTCTATAAGAATAAATTTTTACTCAATTTTGATCATTTTATTTAATATTTTTAAATATACTTTTTAAAGTCAAATATTTTGCCTGGCTAAATGTTTTCCAGAATAAAGTTTAAAGATTTTGTTGCGTTTATCCGTTGTATCACATATATATGTTTTCCTCTACATAATATATGTGTGTTCTATAATATATTATACATAAACACTTTGTTTTACTTTATAGACAATTTTATTTTAGATACTACTTTTAAAAGTAGCGCGCGATTAATACTATACAAAAAAATAAGCGCGCAAAGGCGATAATATTTAAAATTTATCTTGACCACTTTATAAATTTGAATTTATCTAAATTGCAATTTGTAAAATCCTTCATTGAACATTGTTATGTTACAAATGTTTTTTTTCAACGAAGCATTTTTAAAAATTAATCGATTATTATTGATGTGGAAAGAGGTTTTTTCCCCATTGATTTTCAGAATATAATATTTCTTAAAAAAAATACTTGTTTGTTTTCATTATATAATTCTTATATTGTTGCAAAGTAACATCGTTACTGATGGCCCTTTTTCGAGGCAAAGAAATGACGTTTGTTATTTTTTTAAATTATGAGTAACGTGTTTTTTTTAAGTAAATGTAAAACGAAATCTTACTCATTACTTTAAATTTTTTCTTAAAAATATAGAAAATTTATTTTTTATTTCTTTATATATTATATATTATCAAATTTTATATATTACTTAAGTTAAATTTTTATCTCACATCAACCAGCATTCTTCCATTTTATTTTATTTATGTTTTTTTTTGTATTATTATTATTTTTAATTTTTTTATAATCAATCTTTATTAATATAATTTATTTAAAAAGCTATAAAAATATATTAAAAATTATGTATATTAATATCAATAAAATATGTCGACTATTTGCGACCCAAAATTTAGCCATAGTTATGTTGGAATATTTTATTCCAAATTTTTTTGAAAGGAATTCACTAGCCTCATTGGTAAAATGTCATGCCTAAAGTTTTCAAAAATTAAAAAGTATTAGGTGAAAATTGGCGGTTTGCGGATATGACTTTTAATGTAAATATAAAATTGTTGAAATTTTTATTTTTTAATTGGCCTGGTTTAATATATTTATGCTTGTGTTAGAAGAAAATAATAAGATACAAGTAAAATACAATATTGATGATTTACAGAGACTAAAGAATTGTAGTTATTCCATCACGTCTTAATCCGTCCGCGGAGAATAGGTTGATGGGTTCAAGATTGTTAAGTAACTTATAAAACAGTTATTGATGACATAATTGAATGAAATATGGCATTGATATTAAACTTGACTATAAAAACAATTCAGGCCGTGTCTGCTTTCGAATCTTATTACATTTAACACAAGTGTGAGGCCGGACCATGTTACACCCTAGACGTACACCGATGGTGACTCTCAATTATTCATCTGATACATCGACTACATGACAGAATTTTCACTGGATGCAAACCCCCACCCCCTCAAAAATCTACCCTTTTAAAATATTTTCGCCACCTTCGGCAGTTATGTTTTACCATTATTAATTATACTGGTGCTCATTTCATAAATTTTAAAAAGAATAACTTAAATTATTTTAGTTCTACCACCAACTATCAAAATACTGTGAATATAAAAGAATTGTTTTTTGATCATGAAAGTTTATTTGGGAAATAATGTCTATGATTGTTTGTAATATATAGATTTGGTCGATGAATTGTATTATAATAATTCTATAATAAAAGTATTAATTTTTATAGCAATAAATTTTGTCCTATTTGATCTCAAAATTTAATAGATAACCCCTCAAAAAATTTATCATACCCCCATTAAAGCAGCCTACCTCCTCAAAAGAATAGGATGCAAACTATTCCCACCCCTCCCGCTCATGTAAACGCTGAATAGGAAGGAGTGTTTGGGGTGTGTTGGTCTCCCACCTTTTTTTTGCGTCCAATAAAGAGTGGGTGGGGGGGGGGGTATAATTGCTTTTTAAGATGAAGTATTTTCTTGCGTGAGTATTATAATAGAATCGAAGACTTCGATAGAAATGTTAATTTTTTTACTAAAATAAGTAGAGAATATTAAATTTACAATATTGAGTTATATAAATATTGAATTACAAATATGATGTTATACAAATAAATGAAAATTAATATACATAATTTTCTAACAATTAAAACTCTTAGACCAACATTTATTACTTCAACATATTAAAATTAGTATGAAGAATTTCTTTCGAAAAAATGACAATTTTTCTAATATTCTATAACAATTGACATCTATCTTAAAAATCTGTCAAATTAGATATAACTGGATTGTCTCTTATGGTAAAGAATTTCGTTTCCCTAACTTTCATATAAAAACCTTTCATATAAAAAATTGCGAATGAGAATAATTGCGACTATTTTTATGATTGGTTGTGATAATTGCGACTTTATACCCATTGGTTATAAAAAATTAAACGTATTTATAATATATATTTGAAAAATCGTGAATTTTGAAAAGCCTCTATGGCCTAGTAGACAAGAGCTTGGCTTACTTATCCCATGGTCCCGGGTTCGAATCCCGGGAATGGTCATGTTTTTTTTCTTATTCTAACTTGGTGGTTTCATCCTTGGGGGGATAATATATAGGAGGCCGGACTCGACCACGTGATTCCGTATTAATATATTAAATAATAAGAGTTTTATTACATTTTAATATTTTGGTCGGTATTTAGCAAATTAGGTTAGTATTTAGAATATTTCCATACATTCACTCATTAACCATATAAAGTCGCAATTATTTATATGAAAGGTTTTTATATGAAAGTTATACCAACCAAAGAATTTTAAATTCAAATGAGCAGGACTCCTTTAGAAAACATAAATAAATTAGAAGAAGTTGAAAAGCAAATAGCTCAAATATTACAGTATTCGGGTATGATAAAATGTACCGAATATTGTAATATTACATCTTAGGTCTATTATTGAATGAAATGTCCAAAGAAAAATCTGTAGCAAAACAAGTTGAAAATTTAAATAATCAGTTTACCAAAGAAATTGAGAAAGTTTATATTGAATTACTAAGTAATATAAATTATTTAGTGGAAATCAGTTCAGGTTAACATGTTTATATATATGATTATACAAATTATATATTAAACCATGCAAACTTTGCCTAGTTTTTTGTAAATGTTAAAAAAACAATAATCAGAAATCACTGACACTTTCTATCAGGCTGATATTTGGTGTGAGTCTTGCAAATAACATGCAAGACAGACTGGTGAAAATGTCAGCTCATTATTTTTACTTCTCCTAGGCCATAAAATATATTTGCACAAGTTGTTTAACCCAGCCGATAATAAATTTTTACGAAGGAACATAAATTTGCTTAATTACCAGCTTTAATATATTTTTTCAAAACTTAGACCTGGCACATTAAAAATTGATCTATTCACCCAGTTTAATTCAAAAATTGTTTTTCCTTGCTTTTGAGCTAGGTTTCAGGTATTGTTGCATAACCTTTAATATTTATTCTTCATTTTCATATCATATTTTGCAATGTTTTGTGTTGTACAATGAGTAAAGCTAGCCTATTCATTCAATTTTGCGATGCCATATTTTTGATATAGGTATTTATTCTTTGCATTGAGAGAAGGCCCTCTCAATATATTTTTATTCAATGCTTTCATTGTATTTCTTGGATTATCTATAATTATGAATCTTTGATAACATTTAAATTTTGAAATTAATTGGCTGTCAGATACATTTATATTGAATAAAATTTGTTAAATATTTAGGTAAAGTCTAGGCTTGTAAATATCAAAATCATATAATTTGGCTCTCACCACAACAATCACATAAATCTCGAGAAATTCCTGGTCGATATTATATCAGTCTTCTAAGTTGTAATAATAATATTCATGATTCTCATAATTTCAGCCAGATCCATTTTTTTTTGAAAATATTGCATAAAATTGTTATGTATAATAAATAATTTATTAATACATTCCAATGAAAAAAATCAGCAGTCAAATTAAATCTATAGCTGCAGATGAAATATGTGTTTCAGGTGATTTTGATATTTCTCCAAGGGCATAAAAATAAGCTTTTCTAGATCCAAAAAATGCTGTAATAGCTTGATGCTGAAGGTTCTTTTTTGTTTTGCAGTTTTTTTTCCTGTAGCACAATAAGTCTCAGATTTAATTATATTCAACAAATTCTGTCTATTTTCATATACTAGAAATTTTCTAATCATGGTTTTAATAAAGATAAATTAAATATAATTTTTTTTGGTTGATAAATTATATCAATAAGTGTTTAATGTCAAAAATATAAGAGAAACTTTAAACTTTGGTGAGATAAGATATACAAGAAATAAATATTTAAATTAATTTAACTTTTGGTAATATTTAGAATAGAATATAACATATTTGAAATAAAATACCTTGCAATTCACAATTCATGAAGCTGTTTTATGTTTTTTCAAAAATTCTTGCTATGGGGTGAAGGATTTCTCCCACCCTCCCCCACATATGCTAGCTATACACCAGTTTCCTTTTATATTTTTTCAAAATTTTTTATCCCCTTCCACCACAGGTTACACACCTATACTATGGGGATGGGGGGAATCTGCCAAATGCACATTTTTTAAATTTAGCTCTCTTCATACATAAATATACTTTGAATGCCTCTTTTTATGATTTTAAAATTATTTATATAAACTGTTAAATTGTATAATAATATAAAAAAATGTTATGATCAAATTTAAATTAAATCAATTTACAAATTAATTTCTTGAAATAAGTAATCAGAAAACAAAAACTATTATAGTGATACTAAATTATGTCAGCAAAATAACGAAATTAAGTTAATCATGTTAGTATCAGTGCATCCTTGATTATTATTATGTGATTTGAAATAATTGGCTTAACAAGGTTCAAAATCAATCTTTGCCAATAACTATTATCAATTATAACAGCTATTTAGTGAAAATAGTTTATAAACAACCCATTGGGACCCCCCACAAATAATTTTTATCCAAACACGTTTAAAACAGGAGGGCAAGGTGCTCTGAACCTACCAGAGAAGAGGGGATAGGGCCTTATTAAGATCTTATCATTATAATAAAAATTAGGGGAAGGGGTGTAAATGAATGTAAGCGGAAAGGCAAGAAAATATCTAATTTTGATTTCCTTTTTTTAGCTAATTTTGATTTGGTAGGGTATTGCAGTAATAATTGTAGTATTATATATTATTTATACTACTATGGTTTTATAATAGCTTCAATTATATATTCAAATTCCTTTTATAGCCACAAAATACATATATATAGTTTTAGCTTTTGAATAATATACCATCTTTTGTTTTTGATGATTATAAACTTTTTAGCTTTCGACTAATATACCACTTTTGCTTTTGATTAATATACTACATTTTTGCTTTTGATTAATATACTACATTTTTGCTTTCAATTTATATGTAATGATAACTAAAAAATATATTGGCTTCATAAAATTCTATTTCCCTACTATATGAGCCAATCCTCTCATATTATAGATGCTATTATAATTAGCTGTCATAGTACCATTACAAATAAAGTTTGATTTCCTTATTTTTCAATAAGGGTAATATTGGCATTGCAGGATATATGGAAGTAGAGTGCCCCTACCTTTCCCTTTTTGATATCTTATAACTTTAAATTAGGTCAACAACATGAGGGATCATCTTATGCACGGATGAAAAGTTTACAACTCTCTTTAAACTCCTTGGATATTATTCAAAATCAATTGAGTGAACAATTATGATCTTATATGATATGGAATATTATATTATTAAGTATTACTAGTTAATATAATACAAATGTAAATATAATTGAATAAAATGAATTACAATACTCTATCATGTTATATTCCTATTTTTAAAGCAAACATTTTTGGTTATAATCAGGATTTTTTTAAAAAAGGTTAGATTTGACCAAAACTTTAAACGTGAAGATTCATCAATAAAATTTTAAACCGTTTTAATTTTGAAATATCAAGAAGAATACTTTCATATCATTTTTATTAGAAAAGTAAATTTTAAATATTTTACAAATATAAGAAAATTAAATAATTTGAAAAAATAAGTCATTATATAAAGAAATATTTTAATTGCACCGTTACAAGCGTAGTTATGGATAAATAACAAAATATGTTGAAGATTAGGAATACTATTAGTATAAATTATGATTTTGGAAATATTTTAACTTAGATATACTTTTCATATAATTAACATACTTTAATTATTTAGAGGTAAAAAGTGTAAAAGAAACAAGTATTTTAGAAATAATCACTTAAAATGATCCTAATGGGGGCAGACAATGTATTAACGGATAGTATCCATGCATATTGTCATTGGCCAATACTATATAAAATTTACGACCTAAACTACATCCCTGTTCATATCATTGTTGAAAATTTTATTTATAAAACAAAAATTCCAATTTTTAAAATTTATCGGAACTACTCTAATAAATTATTTCTTATAATTCAAACGAATAAGCGTGAATTTCAAATAAATTATGAGCATTTTAAATATCTAATCAATTATTATCTTTCTCAGTAATCCAGCTTATTATCTGAGCAATAAGAAATTATTTATTTATTCTGAGCGATTAAATAATGTCACCCTATATCAAAATTTTACCAATAAATAATGTTCTCACATATTTTATATTAAAATCAACTATTTTTTATCCGTTCCTAGTTCTACAAAAAAATCGTTCATCATTAACTCAGCATCCTTCGCTAAATATTTTGGTAGTTTAATAGTATTGTTCAATTCATTTTTAACGGACTTAAGTCCTGGATTAAAACCAATGTGAATTATGGTGCTAGGATATAGATTGGCATCGAATAGCGTAATGTGATTTGTATTTTGCAACAAATGTTTGGGAGGTGCGGTAAATAAGTAAAACGACGTCTGACCTATCTTCAATACTGGTATGCTTTCTTTAACAAAATTGTACAAATCTGATAAAGTTTCATCGGATCTGAACATAGCTTGAATATACACCCTGTCACATTCTTCGAAAACCACCATGGGATTATGCTTTGGCAAATGTAATCTGACTAGACATTTTGGATATCTATGCATCTTATTCATCGCTTCCAGTTGCATCATCTCACGAGTTTTGAGTGGCGCGTTTTCTAGATCCTGCCTCCTTTTCACTAAATCCGACAACATAAAACGAACATCTAGTTCAGTCAATTCGAAAAATTCGTCAGGAATGGCTTGTGAAGCGAGAGTTGATTTTTCCAGGCCCTTATTAAGTGGCATGAGATAATAAAAAGCTTTCCTATCCAAGGGAGGATTGGTGTTATTTAGGGTAATGGATGAAAATAGGTTGTCGACGTTAATTTTCGCGAAAGATTTTGTATCTAAATTATATGGCGTATTATTTTTATGATTGTCACTTTTTATAATCGCCGGTTGGTTTTCATTATTGCGCGGCAAATTATCGGGATTATGAGGATTTTGTTGATAATTGAAGGATGTTGAGGGAATGTCAGGAGTCATTTTAAGCTTTTTGTAAGTACCATCCAGATTATTTTGGGTTTTTGTTTTAAAATTATGCCCATCGTTATGAATAAGATTATCTTGTTTTGTATTAAAAGTTTTTTCATTTAAAACATTATTGAAATCCGATTGATACGTAGATATATTAATACTTTGTTTGTTTTCATAAAGTTTATCGTATTTCGATTTTAATAGAGATGCATTTACTATTTTTGAAGGAAATATATGACCTTTAGGCATCTGTTGGAGTGGTTCTTCATTCTCCTTTAATATCGATTCTTGATGAACAAACTTAAATTTAATTCTAACTGATCCGTCGTGAACCCCCAATGTTTGAAGCGTGGTGTCGGTCAAATCCTTAACGCCACATATAATTTGTCTAAAATAGATTACTTGCGGGATATATTCCTTATAACTACCAAAATTACTAATTAAATATTGAGCGAGTCGTTTAAAAATGGGATCATGGCAGTCATCGCGCTTTGTAGTCAGTATGGACCAAAGCGTGTCGCTACTGCTAACCTTAAATTGTATTTTCCCTTCAAAATTAAAATTCGGGGACTTTTCTATCACCAACGCGAGGTTAATAGCATTACTATCTTTCAATAAATAATTTTGCGAACTAGTCGAAGCCTCATTTTTTAATAAGATATTCGATTGTACGGAATTTGGATCTCCCAAAGAAGGCGATTTCGATATAAACTCGATTCGCCCATTATTAGGAATATTCGAATAAGTCTGAAAATGGCGGGATTTATCCAATTCGTTACCTCGGTGAATTAACGAATAATTTTCGCTATTAAAATTGTGCTCCTTCCCCACTTTATCTATAAAATCGGACAACGACGAGTAGAGTGATACTGTATATTTTTTCCATTTTTTGTTGGGCAAGCAAATATCGTAAGTCTTGAACATTTTCCTAATGGTGTTAAAGAAATAATATCTAATAAAATAGATTTTCTAATAGGACTCTGAAAAAATAAATCTATGACTATCTTTATTATATTATATATGAGATCTTTGTCCTAGCAAGCATTGTTGTAAAATATATTTAAATATCAGGAGTTTTGAAGAAAAAAAAGATAGCTCAAAATTTTCAATATTTTGTTATGTCATATAACTTGACAATACTTTTATTCTAGATTATAGTCAAATAATAAAATGAGTAATTTATTTTCAGGTAAAAAAAAATTTTGCATTTCTAAATTTGTAATCAAAAAGAATTTTTTAAATCTAAGTCACGATTTTCTGGTGCACTTCTTATAATAAAACCTTTTGCCTTCATGATATTAACAATTTATAAATTATTTTAGTGTGGCAATCTAATTTATTGCTGCAATGGTAATAATAATCTTTTATTTCATAAATCTTATAGATGCTTATAATCAGACAACCCCAACAAGTGTATTTATGTTATGGCCAGAAAAAATCTACCAGTTTTGCAAAATGTTTTGGGAAAAATATCTCGTTTTATTTCTCATTATTTATACAAATTTTATTCCTTAAATTTATATTTATAAAGTATAAATCAATTAATTTACATCTAAGCAATTCTCTAAAAAAATTATCGTAATTCCCTTAGTAAATGAGAATTATTGTGAAATTAAATGCAGATCAATATTACATTTTAATTGTGGAGTAATTTATGATTTACTAATCTAGATGATCCTATCCTATCTAACAATTAAATATAACATGTGAGCTTTTAATTTTAATGCTTCTTCAAAAATAATTAACATCAGTTTGTTTTTAAAATAATAATTTTATCTATAAATAATTCAGAATTTATGCCATAAAGGAACTATTTAAATTCATTTAGTAACCCCTCTGAATATATCCTGGGTAAGCATTTGTATATAAATGAATAATCTTAATTAATTGCATATTTTTTATGGAAACTGGACTATAAAAAAGGATTCTGAATAAAAAGTGGTTGTGGTAAATTTTCAGGAATTTTAATTTCCAAACCTGGTTAAGCAATGGAAAAGTATTTAAAATATTTAAACATTAAATAAACCTTTTAAATGAATAATTTTAGACAATTATAGTAAATATTAAAATTCAAGTGTATTTTTATGATTAAAATTAATAATAAAAAAATGTTTTTGTGGAAAATTAGGAAAATATATTTATTTCAAATTAAAGTTTTTTTGGATTATATTTTATTTTAAAAAAAATTGGAATCAAGTATCAGCAATGAAAATGTTATATCAGTGCATCCCTGACTATAGATAATAATTAAATGAAAAATGTATAATTTTTAAAAATGACTACAATTGAAAATTTTCAGAGAAACACTATAATAGAAAGAAGTAAAGAACCAATATAATCCAGTCAAAGACTTGCACCAAGTGGGTATAAAGCCCTATAACAATATTTATAGGAGGAATCTAACAGACAAAAAAAATTATCACTTCCCAAAAAATCATGATACATCTTACATAAGAACAGAAAAATAGATGTCAATAAAAATTTTAAAAAAATCCTATCCTTATATAACTTTTTTTTATTTAAGCATTATAGATTTGTAAAACACTAGAATTGCCTATTATTTCCTCATTAATTTAATATGGCAAGCTGTTATTGCAATTATTATTATTAAAAGTTGTTTTGAAGTGTTGATTAAAACTAATTTTAATAAGCAACATATATTAATTACTGTAAAACATAATAAACATATCTAGATTTTTTAAAATTCAGATTTAAAATTTTACATATCTAATAAAGTATATATATATTAATTATTTGCGTTACTTTTATGGACTAAAATATTTTATATTAGAAAAAAATATAAAAAATAAAATAAGAACATTTCATGGCAATCACCGCAATCTGTCAAATTTTGATATGACAGTTGATAAGGGTCAGATATTTATAAAATAGTTTTTAAAACTCTTAGGATTTTTTATGAATAAAAAACCTCTCAGTATGAATAGATTTTTTTCTTAAATCAATTTATTTAGATAAAAATATGATATTTATATAATTAAGAAAATAAACATTTTATAAAATCAAAATATTATAAAACCATTTCATATGTTCTTCTATTTTAAAGATGATACCCTTAGAATATAAAACAGTAAAAATTGTTAATTATTAAGGATTGCATAATTAATCGACTATTTGCGATAACCCACCTCCAGATATCGTTGCATTGCATATGATTGAAGAAGTTAGCAATATATGAATCAATAAAAAGCTCAATAATATTGGTATTAATTTCATCTTATGAATTAAATGAAGGAGTAATTGCTCCAAATTTATTTTAGAATTTACCAAAATAATTGCTATTGGATGAAATTTATTATATTCTTTAATCGAATGATAAATATTTGTTTAAATTTTTTGTTTTTAATTAATATATTACATATTTTTTACTGTAAATAATTAGAAAATATTATTTAAAAATGATATTAAAACTCAAATTGATAGACATAATCAAACTTACATTTATGAATTTAACTTTAATAAGAGGAATAAAGTCAAATAAAAAATATTAATCTTCAAACACAAAATCATATTAAAAAATAATTTTGATAATATTGGTAAATTATTTGACTACAATACGTTATTCATAATCATATCTATAATCAGATATAAATAAACCATTTTTAAAGATTTTACTTGTCATCTAATAACCTATTATTTTACATAGATTCCCTTACATTGATCCAAGACCATAATGTACTAAAATTACATATTTTTCAAAAATATTTGATATTCCATATTTCCATGTATATTTTCCAATAACATTTAAGATATTCCATATATCCACTTTCCAGGGACAGACTGGGAATGCTTCGACACCGTGGGCGTATTCCAAAAGCCTGTTTTATGGGGGGGTTTCCCCATACACCCATTTACGGGCCTTCGGTTGACTTTTGCCCGGCCTTCGGCGCTTCATCTCGTATTCTATATTAAAAATTTAATATCTTATTTTGACAAAATTTACCAAAACGAGGTGTTAAAAAATTTATTACGATTATTTTAATAAATGAAAAAAAAAACCAATATATTATTAAAAGATAATTGCTCGTTTAAAATTGCACTTGAAATAATACTATATTATAATTTTTTAACAAATTATGTAGCAAAAACGAATTTGTCTTTAAATAAAGGAGGATATCATCTCAAATTAAATTTGGACTCCCAATTTACTAATTTGCCCTTTCCAATATTGGCACGCTATCTTTTTTTATTATTAATTTGCTAAAGCTTCGCTCACAGCTACTTGAGTAACTAATAATGTTAATATAAATTCGTAAGCAAGCAATAAATTGGAGTGTGTCGCGATATGGAGATTGTAAATAAGCCGAAGATTATACACACAAATATGCGAGTCATTATTATCTTCTTCGCATTCCATATTATGGCCAATTTTTTCTTTGGATAGCATATTCGCAGACTTTTATTTGCATATATTTTAGCAAAATAAATTAATTCTTGTCATAATTTACGACTGGGGACTTTCACTAATTCGGATAATATGTCTAGTGATTACCCACATTATTAATATGTGGAAATTTATTAGGGTAAAAATATTGTATATCACCGAGTCCTCTATTTTCTGAAAATCTCTCATTAAAACTTTTAATTATTTGGTTTAGCTCGTCCATTCATCTGAATATATTCTTTTTTATAAATATTCGTTGAAATAGTCATTCACAGTCCATGACATTTTCAGGTAACATTTGATCAGTGTAGTTCATTTAATTTGAGTATCATATCTTTTGTTGATTTACCTTTATTTTAAATAAGATCAAACTAGAGATTGATAATTTGGCAACTTCTGCCATAAGATATAGTTATACTATCAATATTTTTTATATGAAAAATATCTATTTATACATTCATGCTGAATTGATTATGTGTTAATTATATATAATATATTCTGTCTGTTTCCGCAATTACGAAATTACTTTTTAAAATTAAAGCATGGAATAACATAATTCACAAATAAATGCAGGTGAATGTAATATGTTATGAGGTTTTAAATTAAATTTTTTCTGTTTTAAAACGTAATCAATATTTAGATAATTTAGAATTTTTTAATACATTTTCTTCAATCAACCAATTTGTATTTTAATCGGCTTCTAAAATTATCCGTCCTTTGTCCCTACCCATTAGGCAGCCCACCTGCCGTTATTTGCAGTCCATCCCTGCCAATATCTCATATAATACATGAACCCCCGTTCCCAATTTACGATAGCCACTCACTACAAGAACTAATAATAGGAAATAATTAGAAAACTGATAATTATGAATTCCTTTTCCTCAGAATAGTTCTTTCTCAACTTTCTGAACAGGAAATACAAAATTAAACTCATATAGGTAATTTTATTTATTTTGGGGAAAAAAGTAAGGTAATAAAATTGATTTAAGATTTAGAATATATTTATTTGTACATTAACATAAATAATATTTTCATATTATTTATTAATAAATATCTTCCTTATTAATCTAATGAAGTAGCAGATAATAAAGTTAAAGGGTATGAAAAATGCAAATGTTATAAATGATTATGATGAAGCTTTTATATATCAAATATTTTAAACAAAAAAACCTATAATTTTTAATTCTTGATTTAACTATATTAAACCCTTATATATATATTAAACATTAAATATATAATTACAAAAAAAATAAAGCTTAAGAAATATTTTTTTTAGGAACAGATTATTTTTCATGATTTTAGAGAAATGCCGAAGTCCATGATGCGAATTAGAGGTCTACAATGGATGGGTTTCAACCCAAAGCCCGCCTGCCCATTGTTTAAAATTTTTAACCAGTTTGCCTGTCCGTGCATGTCTTTTTTAGTTCACCTGCTTGCCCATATACCTAAAAAATTTGTTTAACACGCCCTTCGCCCAATATTCAAAATTATTATATGGCTGGTTTCATTTTATTTTAATGAATTTTTAACTACTTATAAAATATGCAATATTATGAAATTAAAGGATTTTTAATAAATATGTTCTGCTCATTTCTCCCGAAAAATATTTAAACCCCCACCCAGGGCCCGCTTATTGTTTTAAATATATTTTCCCGCCGGAGTCCGACCAATGTTTAAAACTTTCAGTGGCTAAACCAACTCCGAGTTGTCACAACCAAAGAGACACTTCTCACTCAAGATCCCCCTTAGCCGCGAGACAAACCTTTAACCCAACTTCCAAGCCAATGATCCGGGAGCCTGAATTTAAAAAAATAATAAAGAATTTTAGTTTATTTTTTCCTTGGACCAGGGGGGGGGAGTAGACCTTAATTTCCTGTACTAAATATTAAATATAACTTTCACATGTAAATATAAGATAATTGATCTGTGTTGCATAATTTATAGGTTGGTTTGAGAAGAGCTCTGATGTATGGTCTGGTCCTAGAAATTAAAAACTAAGTAAAATAAATTCGAATAAATAAGAGTAACAAATTTTTATGTGTTTTTTGGTAGAGTGTGAAAAGCCTGAAGTGTGAAGGTGGATTATGAATAGAAAACTGTATAAATATAAGCAAAAATCAATTTTTAATGAAATAACTTGATTACATTCTAATAAAACTGAGAATATTAAGCACAGACCCTAACCATTTAATAAAATACAAAATTTCATTTAAAAAAAAGTGACGCGTTTTAGAGTTATAAAGATTTCAGAACGTAACACTTTTTTTGAGCCACTCGGTATATAAAGAAAAAAAATATAGATAGAACGGAAATTGAATGCGGAAGAGTCTATCAAAAGAATGTAATATTGCATAAAAAATCTATAATATAAAACATCTTTTTAAATTTTAATATATATATATATTTATTTATAAATAGAATAAGTTTAACTTTTCAAAAAATAATTTTGGAAAGAATTTATATAGGTTAAAATGCCAATACTAGAGGGGGGCTGAAACTTCTGCAAAAATAGGTTATTTGTAATATGATTGTAACTATAGCTATATCATAGAAACTAAAAATCGCCCATATAACTCTTTAGGTTTAACCGCATATTTTTTTGGTAATATCAAACAGATGCTTGTTTCCAGTTTCAGTATCCTCATGAGAAAATATAAAAACTAGGCATATTCAAAAACGAACACAAATTGAATAGTACATTATTAGTAGTCGATTCGTTGAATCAGAGATTTTCTATTCATTTGGTACAAATAATAAAATTCGAATAATTATTGTTTTTAGAAATATTATAAAATTATTCATACGAAAATATATTGACATAATTTAAAAATTTTTTTTTTATTTTATATCTAATTTTAAACATAAAAAAATGATTTAAATAATCTTATGATACCGCATATTGATTTAATTTATAATGCCTTGCCAATTTCTTTCTTCTTTATGATAGGCTATTTTTTGGCAGAAAAATATAGTTTGCAACTAAGAAAAGCCTTGTTCAAGCAGCGATATATATATATTATTATGTCAATCACATTTGCTATAGACTGATAATAAAAAATAATTAAATTTTATTAAAAAAATATTAATAATCATTACAAAAAATTTAACATTCAAATTAAATTATTCGAATAACATGACTTAAATATAAAACAAAATTCCTGATAATTTGTTGAATAAACGTTATCCAAAGATATTTGAATTATTCATATTATTTGAAATTTTAATATTCATATTTGTTGTGTTTGGCAAAATTTTCTTTCGATGTCCTCCCATTTTTTTGTTAGTAGTTATCCCTTTTGTTTTTGTATATCATTTGTTCTTTACATTCTTATTTTCCCCCACGTTATTAATTTATATAACACGATATTAATTTATATAAAACATTGTTATTTTTCTCATGACCAAAAGCCACT